TTTAAATTTTCTTCTATTTTTTAAATTTTATTTCATTATTTTTTGTGTGTACCGTCAAATCAGATCTGACTGATACAGGAGATTATTCCTCCTTCTCCAGCAGAGCATCTGGTGGATTTGAGCCGTGTACCTCTGAGATTGCAGTGCAGCTTCTTGCCACTAGGCCACCAGAGCTCGCCGGGTTCTTGTTTTTTAAAAGCAAATTCTCTAACAGCAGATTGACTGTAGCTTTCAAGATCCCATGAGAGAAAAAAAAAGACTGCATGAGAATAACAGAAACAGTGATTGGTCACACAATAAGAATTCAAAACAAAAAGACAAATACACACAAGAGATTTCAATATAAGAAGGAAAAACCAATAGTATTTAATGACCTTGACTAGAATGTGATGAGAGAGATAATATGAAGGACTAAATGGCTACCAGTATCAATAAAGGGAGTCTTATGTTCCAAATCTTTAGATGAAAAGTTTGGTTTTCCTGTTCAAAATATTCAACATGATAAAAGAGATTGGAGTTGGGCAGGGAGAAAAGTGCAACAATGAATGAATGGAAATCCAAAGTCTCTGTAAATGTTCATTAAAGGTAATAAAAAAGAATATATAAAGAATTATAAAATCTGTAAAAATTATTTGCATAGTCAGATAACTTATATTTATGAACTAATTTCACAAAGATTGCTATGAAGGAATTGGCAAAAAACAAGGCTCCAGGAGTTGACAGCATACCAACTGATTTATTTCAACAAAGAGATGCTGCCCTGGATGTGCTAAGTTGTGCCAGGAAATCTGGAGGACAGCCAGCTGGCCAAATGACTGGAAGAGATCGATATTTGTTCCCATTCCAAAGAAAGGTGACCCAACAGAGTGTGGAAATTATCGAACAATATTATTGATACCACATGCAATCAAGATTCTGCTGGAAATGATCCCAAAATGTTTGGAACAATATGTCAACAGAGAACTGCCAGATGTGCAGGCTGGACTTAGAAGAGGACATGGTACTACGGATACGATAGCTAATGTAAGATGGATCTTGGCAGAGAGCAAGAATACCAGAAGAATGGCTATCTGTGCTTCAGTGACTATGCCTTTTGACTGTGTGGATCACAACAAGCTGTGGCTGACTCTGAGAAGAATGGGAATCCCAGAACATTTGATTGTGCTGATGTGAAACCTATACTTGGACCAAGAGGTAGCAGTCAGAACAGAGCAAGGAGACACTACATGG